ATATGGGATTGATCGAATCCTCGACATCGTGGTTCATCCGATGAGATCATCGTGGAACATGTGGGAGCCAACATGGGTATCCAGATCCCGCTGTTGGTTATTGACCGGAGAGTCATCTCGGTCATGTCTGCATGTCTCCCGAACCCGTAGGGTCTACACACTTAAGGTTCGGTGACGCTAGGGTTATAGAGATATTAGTATGCGGTAACCCGAAAGTTGTTCGAAGTCCCAGATGAGATCTCGGACGTCACGAGGAGTTTCGGAATGGTCCGGAGGTAAAGAATTATATATAGGAAGTGCTATTTTGGCCATCGGGACAAGTTTCGGGATCACCGGTATTGTACCGGGACCACCGGAAGGGTCCCGGGGGTCCACCGGGTGGGGCCACCTGCCCCGGGGGCCACATGGGCTGTAGGGGTGTGCGCCTTGGCCTATATGGGCCAAGGGCACCAGCCCCAAGAGGCCCATGCGCCAAGAGATAAGGAAAGGAAGAGTCCTAAAGGGGGAAGGCACCTCCGAGGTGCCTTGGGGAGGAGGGACTCCTCCCTAGCCGCACCCTTCCTTGGAGGAAGGGCCAAGGCTGCGCCCCCCTCTCCCTTGGCCCTATATATAGTGGGGGGAAAGGAGGGCAGCATCACCTGAGCCCCGGCGCCTCCCTCTCCCTCCCGTGACACATCTCCCTCCTCCCGCAGCACTTGGCGAAGCCCTGTTGGAATCCCGCTACTTCACCCACCACGTCGTCGTGCTGCTGGATCTCCATCAACCTCTCCTTTCCCCTTGCTGGATCAAGAAGGAGGAGACGTCGCTGCTCTGTACGTGTGTTGAACGCGGAGGTGCCGTCCGTTCGGCGCTAGGATCATCGGTGATTTGAATCACGACGAGTATGACTCCATCAACCCCGTTCTCTTGAATGCTTCCGCGCGCGATCTACAAGGGTATGTAGATCCACTCCTCCCTCGTTGCTAGATGACTCCATATATAGATCTTGGTGACACGTAGGAAAATTTTGAATTTCTGCTACGTTCCCCAACACATCCAAGGAGGAAGGTTATACATACATAGAGTCACGGACCAGGTGCTGTGATTGCTACTCTGCTCCCCGAAAGGATTAATGCCATCCGCGCTTAAAGCAAACCATACGTTTCTTGGGTCCTTTGCAAACTCATCCCAGTACTTTCTCTCGATTTTTCTCCACTGCGACCCGTCAGCGGGTGTCGCAACTTCCCGTCTTTCTTACGGTCCTCGCTGTGCCATCGCATCAACTTGGCATGCTCTCCGTTTCTGAACAGACGTTTCAACCGTGGTATTATAGGAGCATACCACATCACCTTCACAGGAACCCTCTTCCTGGGGGCTCGCCGTCAACATCACCAGGGTCATCTCATCTGATCCTATACCGCAATGCACCGCATACCGGGCATGTGTTCAGATCCTTGTATGCACCGCGGTATAGGATGCAGTCATTAGGGCATGCATGTATCTTCTCCACCTCCAATCCTAGAGGGCATACGACCTTCTTTGCTGCGTATGTACTGTCGGGCAATTTGTTATCCTTTGGAAGCTTCTTCTTCAATATTTTCAGTAGCTTCTCAAATCCTTTGTCAGGCACAACATTCTCTGCCTTCCACTGCAGCAATTCCAGTACGGTACCGAGCTTTGTGTTTGCATCTTCGCAATTGGGGTACAACCCTTTTTTGTGATCCTCTAACATGCGATCGAATTTCAGCTTCTTCTTTTGACTTCTGCATTGCGTCCTTGCATCGACAATGACCCGGTGGAGATCATCATCATCGGGCACATCGTCTGGTTCCTCTTGATCTTCAGCAGCTTCACCCGTTGCAGCATCATTGGGCACATCGTCTGGTTCCTCTTGATCTTCACCAGCTCCCCCCATTGCAGCATCGTACTCTTCTTCTTCGCCGTCTTCCATCATAACCCCTATTCCTCCGTGCCTCGTCCAAACATTATAGTGTGGCATGAAACCCTTGTAAAGCAGGTGGGTGTGAAGGATTTTCCGGTTAGAGTAAGACATCGTATTTCCACATTTAGTGCATGGACAACACATAAAACCATTCTGCTTGTTTGCCTCAGCCGCTTCGAGAAACTCATGCACACCCTTAATGTACTCGGAGGTGTGTCTGTCACCGTACATCCATTGCCGGTTCATCTGCATGCATTATATATAATTAAGTGTGTCAAAAACCATTATAGAACATCATGAATAGATAATTAAGTGACCAAATTAATAGAAGTTCATCATCACATTAAAACCAAAGTACATACATAGTTCTCATCTAACAACATATAGCTCTCGAGAGCATCTAATTAATTAAACCATACATTGAAACTATGTAAAACATTTTAATGCGAAAACAAATGCGATCATAATCGCAACCAAGGTAACAATTGATCCAACAGCATAATGATACCAAGCCTCGGTATGAATGGCATATTTTCTAATCTTTCTAATCTTCAAGTGCATTGCATCCATCTTGATCTTGTGATCATCGATGACATCCGCAACATGCAACTCCAATATCATCTTCTCCTCCTCAATTTTTTTATTTTTTCCTTCAAGAAATTGTTTTCTTCTTCAACTAAATTTAACCTCTCGACAATAGGGTCGGTTGGAATTTCCGGTTCACATACCTCCTAGATAAATAAAATCTATGTCACGTTGGTCGGCATAATTTTCATAAACAATAAATGAACCAATAGTTATAAAGATAATATATACCACATCCGAATCATAGACATGACGAGGGCCGACGGGGGCGGATACCAAAACCATCGCACTATATAAGATGCAATAATAAAAGGTATAAAATAATAGAAGTATCTATCTAAACATACAAGTAAGAATATTTTTCCTTTTAGAAAGAAGATAAGAACAAGAGGCTCACCACGGTGGTGCCGGCGATGAGATCGGCGCGGGTGATCGACGGCGGTGAAGACGGGGATGGGGCGTGATGGACCGTTAAACCTAGACAAATATTGAGAAAAATGGAGCTTGGAGGTCGAGCTTGGAGAGGAGAAAGCTTAAGTAGTGTGGCTCGGGCATTCCATCGAACACCTTGTGTGCATAGGAGGTGAGCTAGAGCACCACCAAGCCCTCTCCCCTCGGCGGCCAGAAAAAACAGAGCAGTGTGCTCTGCTCTTACGCGAGGGGGTATATATAGGCACCTCATTGGTCTCGGTTGGTGGCTTGAACCGGGACCAAAGGGCAGCCTTTGGTCCCGGTTCAAGCCACCAACCGGGACCAATGGTGGTGGGCCAGGAGCGAGGCCCATTGGTCCCGGTTCGTCCCACCAACCGGGACCAAAAGGTCCAGACGAACCGGGACCAATGGCCCACGTGGCCCGGCCGGCCCCCTAGGCTCACGAACCGGGTCCAATGCCCCCATGGGTCCCGGTTCTGGACTAAACGGGGACTAATGGGCTGACCCGGCCTGAACCTTTGCCCCCTTTTCTACTAGTGATAGTCTCTGCCAAGCCACACGACCCGGTACGCACTGCAGCGACGTCCTCGAGCTCTTCTTCAACCTCGGACGGCCGAGATCTTCGGCGCCCGTTCGACACCTCCGACACCTCCCCCAAGCCGCTAAGCTGCTTTGATGAACCACGGTGAGCTCCTACGTAGTTCTCCTCTCTCACCTGCGTCTAATTCGTCCTCTAACCGTGCTAGCCACCGGAGCCGAAATCTCACCGCCGCCGGCCATGTCGCCGCTGTCGTTTTAGCCACTGGAGCTTGCATCTGAGCGCGTCATCGTATTGAGACCATCTCTAGGAACTCGTAGCACCCACGGATTCGCCCTACCATGGCCTGTAGTGTTCCTCCGAGCATGCCCAAACTTCGGCCGCCGCATCGCTCGCCGCCGTCATCACTGTAGGCTGCGCCAGCTTCCCTCGCTTGCTCCTCTGGACGCGGATCAACTCCAGCTACCAAACGCGCCTGCCTGTGGATCAACTAGTGTTATTTGCAAAAAGGTAGGCTCATAATTAGTGGTTTTTGGCACAAAATTGTAGAATTGTGGCTTTTGCAACCCTAGCCTTTAATGTCTATGTTTTTGCAATTCACTTCTTTGGTTGCAAACTGATTACCATGCTCTGCTGTAGCACTGCTATTCCTTTTAATACTCATCAAAGATGCCACTTCTGGGCCTTTTTTGACTGCCTTTTTAATTTACTTTAATTTTTGAGGCATTTTTATTTAGTTTAATAGAAACCAGCTTACGTTGTCAATTGTACACAACCTGTTTTCATCACACTCGGCCTGTTATCATCTCAAAAAATGCCACTTCTGGATACTTTCGACTCCTTTTTTCATTTTCATTTATTTATTTTGGCATGTTTAGTTTGTTTTAATTTTTTGAGGTGATTTTAGTTTAATTTAATGTTAAAACCATCTTACATTATAAACCATACATAGCCTGTTTTTTTAGGGGTACCATACATAGCCTGTTCAAATAACATTTTCATCACACTCGGCCTGTTTTCCTTGATGGACCTGAATAACTGCTTAAGAAACAAAACTGGCCCAGTAACGGTGAGCTTTTACAAGGTCTGGCCCGTCATATATGCCGGTGAGAGCCAGTTGATTGTGAACTCGGTTCTCGCCGCCGCCTCCTCGGGCGCCCGCGCAGCGCCGCCTCATCGGACGCGTTGATCGGGTCAGTACGCCTTCCTTCTTTCTTAGTTTCTTCTCAGTCATAGTAATGGGAATTGGAGGGTAAACCCTAGCTAGCTAGCTACTTAAAAGGGCACCAGATCGAGCTAACAACTAACTGATTCCATCGGATCATGCCAAGATGTGGTGTTAATTGTGGATGATTCCCACCAAGACGCTGCTCTGTGCGTGATTCGATCGGCCAATCGGTTGTTAGATTGAAATCTTGTCTTGTACACAGAAATGGCTCGATTTGTATGTGATTTCTGCATTGATATCTTGAAGTATTGACCGATGCACCTCCCTGGATTAATGCAGCTAACCTGTTTGGCGAAATGTCGGCGCCAGCATCTACTCCCTGTGGTTCCAAGAGCGCGCGAGGCACCTACAGTGGTGTCGACAGGCTCAGCAGCCTTCCCAGTGAGCTGCTCCACCGCGTGATGTCCTTCCTGCCCATGCCGGAGGCCGTGCGCACAAGTCTGCTCTCGCCGAGCTGGCGCTATCTCTGGGCATCTACGCCATACATCCGCATCGACCACCACGACTTCATGGATGACAACGAAAAGATGGAGAAGTTCGGGGACCGCCTGCTGCTCTTGCGCGACAGCACTGCTTCCTTGGATGAAGCCCGGATCATTGACCACATGGTTGCTAGTACCACATGTACTGTGTGGATTCGTCATGTCATCATGCACAAAGTTCGTCACCTCCATGTTTCCGGATTGGGCCATCTGGATAGCTCAGCCATGCCTCCTTCTAACCACCTCAAAACAATCAGGCTCCAATTTGTCATATTGGGACATGGGCTCTTTAGGCCGCTCAACTACGACTGCCGAGTGCTTCAACTTCTACAGCTGGAGGATTGCGTTTTGGTTGACCTGAAGGAGATCTCATCCAGGTCACTCAAGGTTCTGCATATCATTAACTGCCTTATCACCGGGAGTCTCCTGATTTGTGCTAGCAATCTTACCCATCTCTCTATCCTAGACATGCATAGTCATTCCGGAGCTATATTAGTTAGGGATCTGTCTTCTCTAGTAGCAGGCTTTGTTAGTGTAAGGACAATAGAGGGCCATGGTCTACTTGATGGCCTCTCACATGCCACAAACTTGGAGTTGCATGCACCATTACTTGAGGTACGAACTAGTTCTTTTTCTTTTCACATTCATAAACGTTTAGATGAATATATTTCATTCCTTAGTTAGATTTTCTTATGTAGTTGCTTCTCGGGGTCTAAACCTTAACCTTTTCAGCTTACTTATTTCCCCTCCTACGAGCGGGTATTATTTTAATAAGCTAGCATGGAAAAAACATGAAATGGTCAAACTATTTGATCATTTTGATTTCATCTGGGATGAATATGAAGCTTCTGTTGCAGAGAGGTTTGTGGATATGCCCAATGTTTTTTTTCGATCAGAGGGGCCACACGGCCCCCATTTTCATTACGAAAATGGAGTCACAGCATACGAATCAAGTTTCATACAGATTCAACTTCTTTCGATGCCTAACATATGCATCATGAAAAAAAAAACTACTCCTACATCTTGAGGCACTTCATCTGCACCTACAGGATGCTACAACATCTTGAAGCTCATCAACAAAAAACTTCATTTTTGCATTAGGTGAAATAACTCACTACAACCTGAGATACCAAACTCTGCACCTACAGGGTGCTATAGCAAAAGAACAAGAGAGATCATCGCAAATGCTACATCTGTCACCACTTGATCAACAGAGCCTCCGTACAGCAGGCCCCCAGCCGTAAGCACGCTTGAAGACGTCCCTCGCTATCTGGGCCAACCTCTTGGTCACTTCCTTAAGAGTTTTTTGCACTCCTCTTTTCTGTAGCACACCCCACGAATCCAACACGGAACATAAGGAGAAGATAATATCAGTAGGATCATTAGGTAAAGAACTTTGAAAGCAAGATTTATTTCTTGTTTTCCAGATCGACCATAATAAAGCAGCCGTACCAATAGCTATAACCACTCTATCTTTTCCAGTATACTTAGGAAGCCAATTCTGGCAAAAGTCAAAGAATGACAGGGGTGTTTGGGGATTTCCCAAAGCACTCCCAACTACATTCCAAAGAAACCGAGCAAAAGAGCAAGTGAAAAACAGATGGTCAATACATTCATTGGCATCACAAAATTCACATTTGTTGGTGCCTTTCCAGCCTTTTTTACACAAATTGTCCTTGGTCAAGATCCTCTCTTTGATAACTAACCAAATAAAAGCCTTAATTTTTAAAAGTACCTTCAGTTTCCACAGAAACTTAAAAGGGAACACTACTCTCCTAGCAATAATATATTGATAAAGAGATTTAACAGAGAACTGGCCAGAGCTGGTCAAAAGCCATTTGACTTTGTCAGGTTCCTCACTCAGAACAACCTGACTGCACATATCTAGAAGTTTATTCCACATATCCAATGTCTCCCCATATAAACATCTCCTAAATCTAATGCAGTTAAAATCTTGTTCAAATGCTTTAGCAACCGTAATGTTTTGATGGAAAGTAAGTTTGTACAAGCAAGGAAAAAGTTGACAGAGAGGCTTGTTGTGGATCCAAGCATCTTCCCAAAATCTAGTTTTACACCCATCTCCAACAATTCTCTGACAACAGTTGTAAAAGATATTTTTAACACTCATGATACCATTCCAGAAAATGAGAGTTGGTAGGAGATGACTCACATTGAGACAAAGTTTTCCTCTTCAAATACTTTGCTCTAATCATCTCCTGCCAATCCCCATCTTCATTCTCAAGTCTCCAGAGCCATTTACACAAAAGACTAATATTCTTGATATCCAGATTAGTAACACCCAACCCCCCTTGGTCTCTAGGTTGACAGACATCAAGCCAGTTAACTAAATGAAACTTCCTAACCCCCTCTTTCTCTTGCCAAAGCACCCGAGCTCGAAAGAAGTCGATTCTTTTGCCTACTCCCTTTGGTAGACGGAAAAAGTTAAGTAAATGACTAATGACGTTACTCAAGCAAGTTTCAGTACGGATAAGCCTACCACCCATAGATAAAAGAGCCCCCTGCCACGCTGCAGCTCCTTTCTCTACTTTTTCTTCCGCTGGCTTCCAATCAGCATTACAAAGCTTTTTATAATGCAGGGGAAGACCTAAATACTTAAAAGGGAAGCCCCCAATAGCACAAGTAAAAATGCCGGCGTAGTCAGCTTGTTTCTCCAAAGCTTTACCGAAACAGAAAATTTCACTTTTTAAAAAATTAATCTTCAGACCGGTCAAATGCTCAAAAACACATAGAATTATTTTGAGGTTCCTAGCCCCCTCAAGGTCATCTTCAAAACAGAAAATAGTATCGTCCGCATATTGCAAAATATTTAGACCTCCTGAATACAACCTAGGCAACACTCCCTTGATAAATCCTTGTTCTTGCGCCCTTTGCACCAGGGTAGCAAGAACATCAGCCGCCAAATTGAAAAGCAAGGGGGAAAACGGATCCCCTTGCCTCAAACCCTTCCTGGTAACAAAATACGGGCCAATAACATCATTAATAGTGATGGCAACCTTTCCATTACTAATGACATCTTTTGTCCACTGGACAAAACGTTCAGGGAAGCGGCGCGCAGGAGCATATGCTCCCTAGAGCTAAACTGAACATCTACAAAGCATGTGTCTTTTCTTTGAAATCACAAACAGTGATTGGTGCCTTTATTCAGTGCAGAGATTGTTTTGCATCTCAAATTGCAACACACAGATCTTCTCTTCTATTAGCTTATATGGATATCGACAGTACAATGAGTTTCCATTATGGAAGAAAAGGGTTCTGAGAGGAACACACATCCTTTTGCCGCTGGTATGCCCTCGAAGCGCTGTAGGAACCAAAGGAAACTGCGGCACAAATTATGAGCAGAAAGGGGGCTTTAACCAATGTCTTGTTTGATCTTCTGTATCCCGTTGGAACACCAGACCTCATTACATGTACTTCCATTCTGTTCCCAAATCTTCGACCATCCTTCAAACAAGAATATGCTTCTACTACCTGACCTGCTTGAATTTTGACTCGGCTTGAGGCTTCTGATCCATCGGGACGCGATCGGGATGGGACTCCATGACCATTCTTCTATACGCAGCCTTAACCTCGGAAGGGGACGGGCGGGAGTAGGGAGCGAAGCCCAGGAGCTCCGTGGCCTCGCTGCTCCTCATCTCTCTCCCTTTCTTCCTCGTGCGATCCCGCCGGACAAATCGCGGCGGCAGAGGCGACGACGGCGGGGCGGCTGGCCGGTCAGGTTGGTCGCGGCGGCAGAGGCGATATGCCCAATGTTCAGCAACCTGACAAGCCTAGTGCTGGGCAATTGGTGCATGGCTGCTGATTTCGACGCGCTGCTTCGCATTCTCCAGCGCTCGCCCAAGCTGAAGGAGTTGACCTTTAAGCTCGAAAGGGTACTCACTCGAAACCATCTCTAAATACGAGTTGATCTGCCATAACAGTGGAACCCCTTACTGATCCTTCCACCTTAATGTTGACACTCTACAGCTGCAATGTATAAGGTGCATGCATTCTGAATCTACTTTGCCACCATCAGGAGCAGCGTTGAGCTTGGGCTTCCACCCTTGCATCGAGAGGATCAAGATCTGCTGCTCAAAAGAAGATCCAAGTGTCGGCGCACTGGTGGAGGCGTTGCAACCGATTGTCGGTGATGTGAAAATCAGCATCAAGCGTCTCTATTAATCAACACATTGTTTTGTTTTGGGCACCTGCCACCTTAGACCAGTGCTAAGTTGATGTGTTGAGACGAAGTGTTCCTGACGTAAACCTTCTGTAAACCAGAATAGCCAGTCGACTCCAGCCGGCGGCCGCGGAGGAGGCTGGGTCAAGCTCCTTGCTCCTGTATCTCTCGGAATGGATTGGGTAATTAATCTGTAATTTAGCTCCCGAGCCCTCACAAAGACACTATGTGTTGAATTGGGCTTAAATGCATGCGTAGTTTACCTCTTGAATGTCAATATCTTAGGCCTGAAATAGTTACATATTTCCATTTGCCAAGTTTAGTATGATTGCCCTCAGAGATTCAGAACAAGCCAGGCTAATGGATATGTTCCTATGTATGACCCTGATGCTACACAAGACATATTTCTTTCACACGGTAATATCATGCGTATAATAGAGGACAATTGCTAATCCAGTTCAGAATACAATCATCAGATTTAACAACAGGGTGCCACCATTCTTATTTGTGGAACAAAACAATGCGGAGGTGCCCAACATCATAGTTACTGTTCTTGTATCATACATTACAATGCATTCGGAGTAAATCAGACAAGACAACGCCATCATGAAGATCCTTATGGTGCAGACTGACAACATGTTTTCTCCCACGCTTTGCCACACAGTGGGTTGGTATTTCTCTGAATGAAGTATCAGCAGACCAAGTTGAAGGCATCCTCTGCTTATGAAAACATGAGAGGATGTGGCCTGCTTCGAGTTCGAGGCGGTAGGGTCAACAAATGCATACCGATAGACAAGGGCTAGAACATGTATGGCTGAATTTATGATGTGGCCCATCGTTCACTAAGAGAGCACATTGCTTTCTCCGGTGTTTCCTGCAGTTCAGCACTATTAATTGTTTGCTTCTGCGGAACATACAACAGGGCAAGCGTTAACACTCAGTTTATTCGAGCATTGACATCAAACATTTGAGATCTCGAGTATAAAGAAAGCAACAATAGCCTTTCTTGATATATATCGATAAGTAAGTTTGTTAAAAAAACATGGAACACTTTCATTAACGCAGAGTCCATACGTTATTATTTGCAGAGATCAGCAATGTGATCATTCCACATCTCGAATCTTGCGCATTTATTTGTATACTTTTCAGATTCTGGGATACAATTGGCTAAATAATGCCAGAGCAGCGTTTTGTAGACCGGGCTTGAGGGAGCCTGGTGTTTGCAAAATCTGAAAATGCTATATGTAAGTTTAACAAAAAAAAATGATTTTTTTTCATGGACACATACAGATGTTCTTCACTTGTCTGTAAAATACTAAAATTGCACTGATTTATAAGTTGTTTTGTATCCTATGCAAAAAAGACAAAATCCTGACCCAACAATAAGAATAGAAATGCATATTTTTATACACAAATTTACATTTTCTATGTACACACATGGAAATATATTTCCATGAAACCTCATACATACGAACTATACATGCATTATATGTATAAGCGCAATTGT